AACTGAAACCATGGATAACTGAAACCATGGATAACTGAAACTGTGGATAACTGAAACTGTGGATAACTAAAACCGTGGATAACTAAAACCGTGGATACCTGAGACCGTGGATACCTGAGACCGTGGATACCTGAGACCGTGGATACCTGAGACCGTGGATACCCGAAACCGTGGCTAACTGAGACCGTGGATACCTGAGACCGTGGATACCTGAGACCGTGGATAACTGAAACCGTGGATAACTGAAACCGTGGATAACTGAAACCGTGGATAGTAGCAAACCCCATATATATAAGTCAATTTTCATTTACATACCTATGATAGTTTAATTCATAAATTATATAAAATAAGCCTAGGATTATCGGCTTTTCACAGACGGGAAACATTTCACAGCTTTTCTTAGGCTTTGAACAACTGTCAACATCAATAATTTTGCAATTTGGGACCTTTAGTAGACATAATTAAGGGTTATTTTTGGGCCATTGTAAACAGTGGATAATTTAAACAGCGGATACCGAATCCGTGGATATGGAAGTCCTACTGAACCTATAACATAATTAGTGTTATAAAGTTCGAAACTGTCAACAGGGACTCTCAGTTGTCGACTCAACTAACAGATGACTCACGAAATCGTAATGACACGATTGCAAACAAACCATACCACGGGCGGGATTGAACCCGCGTGTCATTACGATTTCGTGAGTCATGTTGACGGCATTGAGGGGACTTGAGCTAGAGTTCGTCACGCCCACGCTAGCTGAAGATTCGTCTGTAAAAACTTGCATTTGTGGTCAGTGGTGGCCTATGCTAACCTTCCTATGGTGTAGAAATATACCTAGTTGGACGAATCTTATTGTGGCTAGCTGGTCCAGTGTCTAACGTGACGGTCTGGAGTTTTGAGACTCTCTGATCGCGGGTTCAATCCCCACCTGTGGTATGGTTTTTCAACTAACAGATGCACAGTGACACTAGCTGCCCTCACTCCTGTTTTCCTGGTGTAACCCACAACCAGAAAGGTTAGATAAATACATGAGTGGGTGTGGGTGGGTGTGAGTTGGACGTGACTAGCTTGTGCTGCTGAGTCTGGTACAGTGCTCCTTCCTTGAGTGGAGGTGACCAGACTGGGTGGGTCATTGGGCTAATCCGGTGGGGATGGACCTGCTCCGCATGGGTCAGTAGGCCTGTTGCAGTGTTCATTCTTTCTAATGTTCTTATGTTCTTAAAACTACAGTTTAGTCTACGTGAGTTTACCCTATCCTGCATTGCTACTAACTCGCCGCTACGACGCCAGTTCACCCTGCAGTCACAGACGAGGTGGCTTGTCCCACACCAGCACCTTTATACACCCCCATTACAAGATGTAGGTAAACTGTATACAAATCCTCACATAGGTGAAAGAAATACTTACGACAACGTTTCGGTATACCTGGAGTATACCTGGAGATGGATTTTGGGTCAATGCCCTCGCGGCCCGGTCTGAGACCAGGCTTCGTCTATTTGACCATTTACTTTGTAAATGGTCCAAGTTGGACCGAAACATTATAGTAAGCTTCTCTCTCTCCAGTCTAGTACAGAGAAGAACGGTGGGAGATGAGTAATAGTTTGAAGTAATCAGTCCCTTATCTATCGCTTTTCTCTGTATTGGATTGAAGAATCCATTGTTGCCAAATGTTGCACACGTATCCCATTCTTCAACATGATCCCTTAATTACACGTCAGATTAGAGTAACTATATTGCACCTGCTGCTTTCAGAAAATATTCGCCTTCTCTCTAAGTAACATATTGTGAAAATCTATTACGCCTATCAGTAGTACGTCTATCAATATTACGTCTATGGATATTACGTCTATCAATATGTAGACAACCTGTACTGTCTGCACAATCATGCTGTCTGCCAGCTTAGTTCATATTTTGCGCCACTAAGGTGCTGCCCTCTGGGCCTGTCCAAGTTTGTGGGAAGCTGGTCCCACACTCACTCTCACAGCGGCCTGGCAGCAAGACAGAAGGCCTACTAGCTCTCTCTCGTGGGATGGCCCTCCCGGGCCATGGGCACAACACACAAACCTGTGTACCCACCAGGACTTAACAATAAAGTAAGAAGCCTCTGAAGATGTATCATTTACTCCCCGCTACCAGAACACCAAAAAAAAAAAAAACGGTTATAAATGGTGGGAAGCGGTGGTCGCAGTAGTTGTTTGCCCGGAGAGAGGAAGGAAGAGGTATGAAGTCATCTTCACTTCATCACCCCATGAAAGAAGCATCTGTCTCTCAACGAGTTATCCTGATGTCGTGTCTGTACGTTTCAGCATACAGACACAAGTACAAGCAGGATCCAGCCGAAATTTACCGAATTTCTTCGAGAATTGTAAGTGGCGTCCCAGTGACCCCACGCTACAGTGTCCCACGCTGTTTCTCAAGTCACGTGTTCAGCGTCACTTGTATGTTGCTGTTGTTCAGCTCAGCACAGCTGTTTCAGCAAGCCAGAGGTGAGTTTTGTGGTGATTTCTGTGTCCAGTGTGAGCTCCACGTGTTTGTGGGTGGGGGAGGAGGAGGAGGAGGAAGTGGCCATTCCTCTCACCTTGCCCATGCTCGCCCTACTCACGCTCACCCGTCTACATACACTCACCACTGCTCACTCCCTCTGCTGTGTTTTCTGCTGTTTTCCATGTGAATTCATTGCCAGAGCTGTGTATCCGAGTGCCCGAGGCCACTCGAAGCTATGTGGATCAGCATGCCACGTAGATCAGCATGCCACGTAGATCACTAAGGCATGTAGATCTACAAGCCACATGACTTACCAGATGCCCCAGGCCACATGCTGTGGTCTGCTGCCCGCATCACATTGACGTCACCGACGATGCTGCCCGACTTCATGACGTCATGTCTGCCTGACGTCACCTCGAGATGTCTGCTGACGTCAGTGCTGCTGACGTCACCTCGTGACATCACGCCTGACATCACATGATGTCACATCGAGTGTTTTTAGTAATTATTTCAGTATTGTCGAGAAGATTGAGAGAAGATATATGTGTGTTAATTAATTCCTCTCAGTCAGTGTTCTCAAATGTTAGTGTACCGCAAGTACAACGGGTGTGTGTAGTTTCCGTGTGTCCAGTGAGGTCTGAGCCAGACCTGAGTAGCACCACTGTGTTAAGTCACCCGTGTGACCAATGCGTTCGACAGCTGATTTACTCAGCCCCCGAGTGACCGAGCCCTCTTGTACAGAAAGCTTTCATGCTCGTCGCTCTTGATGTTCTGCAGAATCGTACCTGCTACGATTGAGATTTGTTTCACTTCACCTCCAGACCTTCAGAGTGCAGTTATACGTAGAGAAACAAATCTGGGGATGCTTAGACTAACCTCTGCTATAACTCCAACTGCCGAGAGAATGACACTCGTCAAGCCGCAGTTAGCCCTGTCGGCAGGCGCTGCGTCAGCCTCGTGTCACAAGCTTCAGTGAGCAGCCTGCACAAAGATGATGTCACTTTGACTGCTAGCTCGCTCACTGCAGTCTGGTGTATGTTACGACTCCCAGATGTTTCGCCCAGTCGTCTCTGCCACGACTCGCTCCACAACTTGCTCCACGCTAGCTGGCAGTGACAGCCCAGCGACAGTACCAGTCGAGAAGTGTCCTCCTGAGTCGCTTGCCAGAAGTCCTGCCCAGTTGCCGAGTTTTGTCGACGCCTCACTCGAGGGCACCAGCATGTCGTGCCCCAGGTTGAGTGAAAACCTGCAGCGACTCCTACGATGACTGCTTCACCGTTCCAGAGGAGACCATACCCTGTTATGTCACAGCTCAGCCGCAGCGATGTCTCCCGTGCTGCAGTATCTGTCCAGACGCAGGAAGGTGTGCAGTGATGCCCATCGACGTTCACTGCCTATGACCACGATGTTTAGCACACCCCACATGTTTTTTCTTCCCTCCCTGTAGGAAGTTTTTTTTTTCCCTGTCCATATGTATATATATGTTTTTATTTTGTGTTCTGTGCCCAGTTCCTATGAGAGAGACCGAGTTTTTTTTACCACCAGTATTGTCGCGATGCGAGGTAGGTGGCCAAGTGCATGTAGACAGCCTGTACTGTCTGCACAGACAGCCATGCTGTCTGCCAGCTTAGTTCATATTTTGCACCACTAAGGTGCTGCCCTCTGGGCCTGTCCAAGTCTGTGGGAAGCTGGTCCCACACTCTCTCACTCTGACAGTGGCCTGGCAGCAAGACATAAGGCCTACTAGCTCTCCCTCGTGGGCATGGTCCTCCCGGGCCATGGGCACAACACACAAGCCTGTGTACCCACCACGACTTAACAACAAAGTAAGAAGCCTCCGAAGACGTATCATTTACTCCCCGCTACCAGTTACACCAAATAATCTCGTTATAAATATTACGTCTATCAATATTACGTCTATCAATATTACGTCTATCAATATTATGTCTATCAATATAAATACTCAATGTTTGTTAAGGCGCCCAATGGGATTATCATCCCGTTACGAAACCAACCATCACAACTTTTTTAAGAAAATAGCACATGAAAAGCAATGTTACCTTTAGGAACGCTGTTGCTACGTTACATAGCAACAGTGAGGTGCCTAGAAAATAGAATGATTTATCAGTGTTAAATTCAGGAACACTTGAGCTACGTTACTTAGTGTGGGTAAGGCATTTAGACCCTAATGTGATGCATGAAACATAATGTTAGTCAGAAATACTGTAACGACGTTACTTAGAGTGTGGGTAAGGCACCTAGAATAACATCTAAAACACTAACAACGTTACTTACAGTATGGGTAAGGAACCTAGAATGACATCTTAAACACTGTAACAACGTTACTTACAGTGTGGGTAAGGCACCTAGAATGACATCTAAAACACTGTAACAACGTTACTTACAGTATGGGTAAGGCACCTAGAATAACATCTAAAACACTGTAACAACGTTACTTACAGTGTGGGTAAGGCACCTAGAATAACATCTAAAACACTGTAACAACGTTACTTACAGTGTGGGTAAGGCACCTAGACCGTAGAATGCCACGGAGCTGAGTGATCCAATCTGGTTACCGTTAAGATGTCTGCGGTGAGGAAAATAACAAGAAAGTTTATTAGTAACTTGGAGAACTGTGTTGAAACGTGTTGGTAGTGCTACTGTTGAACAACTTATAGCCAGATAAAATATTATTTAGTAATAGCATTTCCACTGAGAGGATCCATAGCTTCATGATGAATCAGATATCAGGATAAGTTGTGGACAATTTACGTTTTGTGATAGACATGGCACCATCCTGGAAAGATGTTTCCTGTATTCCTTATCTTTAACCCGAAATGCCTAGGCAGTGATGCCTAGGCAGTGATGCCCAGGCAGTGATGCCCAGGCATCCTGGTGGTCTTCTTTGTAACTAAAATTTGTATGTAAACCACACATTGTTATCTTTACAGAGAAATAAACATTTCAATTTCGGTTTCAAAATACTCTAATTCAAAATTATTAAAAACATGTGCAATATCTGGGTGTCTTTAGTTTGCAGATGTTTCGCCCTCCACTGGCTTTATCAATACAAGAACATAAAACAAAGACTGTAGAAGTAACTGACTCACGAAATCGTAATGACACGATTGTAAACAAACCATACCACGGGCGGGGTTAGAACCCGCGATCAGAGTCATAAAACTCCAGACCGACGCGTTAGCCACTGGGTCCAGTGGCTAACGTGACTCTGATCGCGGGTTCTAACCCCGCCCGAAGATGAGGTAATGAGTCCCTCAGTATACGAGTAGGTATTGAGTAGACTTTCCACATGTTTTAATTCTTCCTCTCGGTATTGTATACAATTGATATATTTTAATACACGCAAGAGGCCTATTAACCCATGAGCTGTAGCTCAACTCCTTCAAAGGCACCATGAGCTGTAGCTCAACTCCTTCAAAGGCACCATGAGCTATAGTTCAACAGTCCAAAGATGATCAAGAATTGGATATAACCATCCACGGGAGACCCAGATACTTTAGTTCAACTCTCAAAGCAGCACTGTGACCCAGGCGGGTTTAGAGCTTAGTTTTGATTATAGTCAACTGTCAAAAAATTATATCAGAACTTTGGAAAAATATAAGAAGTACGTTTCCTGCCACCAGGAGACATCAGATGGTGTGTACACTTACTGACTTGAAACTGAGACATGAGTGCAGTACAATGTGATCATTTATTAACTACGTTTCGCCCACACAGTGGACGTTATCAAGTTACAAATAGATCTACCTGAGGACAGAGTAGATGGGTGTATAGAGTACTCGCCTAATTACTCCCCTAATTGTGGTTGCAGGGGTCGAGACTCTGCTCCTGGTGCCGTCTCTTCACTGAAGCTACTAGGTCCTCTCCCTACTCCATGAGCTTTATCATACCTCGTCTTAAAGCTGTGTTTGGTTTCTGCCTCCACTACATCACTTCCCAGACTATTCCACTTCCTGACAACCTTATGACGGAAGAAATACTTCCTAACATCCCTTTGATTAATCAGTCTTCAACTTCCAATTGTGACCTCTTGTTTCTGTGTCCCATCTCTGGAACATCCTGTCTCTGTCCACCTTGTCTATTCCAGGTAGTATTTTGTATGTTGATCTCATGTCTTCTCTAACCCTCCTGTCCTCCAGTGTCGTCAGGCCGATTTCCTTTAACCTTTCTTCGTAGGACATTCCCCTTAGCTCTGGAACTAACCTTGTCGCAAACCTTTGCACTTCGTCTAATTTCTTGACGTGCTTGACCAGGTATGGAGAGTCCTGTGCAGGTCCGTCTCAGATCCAACCTAACAAACATCCTCCACCTGACTCTGCACATTATATATAACAGCCTGGTTGATCAGACCCTGATCTACCACGAGGCCTGGTCTCAGACCGGGCCGTGAGGGCGTTGACCTCCGAAACACTTTTCAGGTAGGCACTCTTTACCCAGGTAGATCTGTTGTGGATTGGTAAAGTCCACTGTGTGTCTACCTAACTACCTGGATGGCATTCCTGGGATCAGCGCCCCCCCCATTTGTGTCTATGCTTCCGAATCATGGGTAATCATGCTACCACAGATACGAGGCAGATTAGACAACACTGGGGAGACGACTCTCTGGAGAAACTACTCTCTGGAGGCACACGGCTCTCTGGAGACACGCGGCTCTCTGGAGGCACACGGATCTCTGGAGACACAAGGCTCTCTGGAGACACAAGGCTCTCTGGAGACACAAGGCTCTCTGGAGAGACACGGCTCTCTGGAGACACACGGCTATCTAGAGACACACGGCTCTCTGGAGACACGCGGCTCTCTGGAGGCACGCGGCGCTCTGGAGGCACACGGCGCTCTGGAGGCACACGGCGCTCTGGAGGCACACGGCTCTCTGGAGGCACACGGCGCTCTGGAGGCACACGGCGTTCTGGAGGCACACGGCTCTCTGGAGGCACACGGCTCTCTGGAGGCACACGGCTCTCTGGAGGCACACGGCTCTCTAGAGACACACGGCTCTCTGGAGACACAAGGCTCTCTGGAGACACAAGGCTCTCTGGAGACACGGCTCTCTGGAGACACAAGGCTCTATGGAGACACGGCTCTCTGGAGACACAAAGCTCTCTGGAGACACGGCTCTCTGGAGACACGGCTCTCTGGAGTCAGTCCTGTCTACAAGGAGGCAGATAAACCTAACATTAACCTGGATCCCAAGGATCTTACATGTATTTACTAATTTGTGGAATTTAATGCTGTTGATGCCCTTGTTTGTATCTTTTGATATAAAATGGTTATCTTCACTGAGTGTGAAAGATAACATGGAGGTACTCACAAGATGTGAAGATAACATGGAGGTACTCACAAGATGTGAAGATAACATGGAGGTGCTCACAAGATGTGAAGATAACATGGAGGTGCTCACAAGATGTGAAGATAACATGTAGGTACTCACAAGATGTGAAGATAACATGGAGGTGCTCACAAGGTGTGAAGATAACATGTAGGTACTCACAAGATGTGAAGATAACATGGAGGTGCTCACAAGATGTGAAGATAACATGGAGGTGCTCACAAGATGTGAAGATAACATGGAGGTGCTCACAAGGTGTGAAGATAACATGGAGGTGCTCACAAGGTGTGAAGATAACATGTAGGTACTCACAAGATGTGAAGATAACATTGAGGTACTCACAAGATGTGAAGATAACATTGAGGTACTCACAAGGTGTGAAGATAACATGGAGGTACTCACAAGATGTGAAGATAACATGGAGGTACTCACAAGATGTGAAGATAACACAGGTACTCAAAAGATGTGAAGATAACACAGGTACTCACAAGGTGTGAAGATAACACAGGTACTCACAAGATGTGAAAACACAGGTACTCGCAAGGTGTGAAGATAACACAGGTACTCACAAGGTGTGAAGATAACACAGGTACTCACAAGGTGAAGATAACACAGGTACTCACAAGGTGTGAAGATAACACAGGTACTCACAAGGTGGAAGATAACACAGGTACTCACAAGGTGTGAAGATAACACAGGTACTCACAAGGTGTGAAGATAACACAGGTACTCACAAGGTGTGAAGATAACACAGGTACTCACAAGATGTGAAGATAACACAGGTACTCACAAGTTGTGAAGATAACACAGGTACTCACAAGATGTGAAGATAACACAGTACTCACAAGATTGAAGATAACACAGGTACTCACAAGATGTGAAGATAACACAGGTACTCACAAGGTGTGAAGATAACACAGGTACTCACAAGGTGTGAAGATAACACAGGTACTCACAAGGTGTGAAGATAACACAGGTACTCACAAGGTGTGAAGATAACACAGGTACTCACAAGGTGTGAAGATAACACAGGTACTCACAAGGTGTGAAGATAACACAGGTACTCACAAGGTGTGAAGATAACATGGAGGTACTCACAAGATGTGAAGATAACACAGGTACTCACAAGGTGTGAAGATAACACAGGTACTCACAAGTTGTGAAGATAACACAGGTACTCACAAGATGTGAAGATAACACAGGTACTCACAAGATGTGAAGATAACACAGGTACTCACAAGATGTGAAGATAACACAGGTACTCACAAGATGTGAAGATAACACAGGTACTCACAAGGTGTGAAGATAACACAGGTACTCACAAGGTGTGAAGATAACACAGGTACTCACAAGGTGTGAAGATAACACAGGTACTCACAAGGTGTGAAGATAACACAGGTACTCACAAGGTGTGAAGATAACACAGGTACTCACAAGGTGTGAAGATAACACAGGTACTCACAAGGTGTGAAGATAACATGGAGGTACTCACAAGATGTGAAGATAACACAGGTACTCACAAGGTGTGAAGATAACACAGGTACTCACAAGATGTGAAGATAACACAGGTACTCACAAGGTGTGAAGATAACACAGGTACTCACAAGGTGTGAAGATAACACAGGTACTCACAAGGTGTGAAGATAACATGGAGGTACTCACAAGATGTGAAGATAACACAGGTACTCACAAGGTGTGAAGATAACACAGGTACTCACAAGATGTGAAGATAACACAGGTACTCACAAGATGTGAAGATAACACAGGTACTCACAAGGTGTGAAGATAACACAGGTACTCACAAGGTGCGGAGGTTATGGAGGCCGTGGAAGGCGCCCTCTGTTAGAGTTGTCAAGTTGTTATCACTAAGAATTAGGATGCGGAGGCGCCACAGGTGCTTGAAAGTGCCGTTCCTCAGGTGCTGGATGTGGTTCCTCGATAGGTCACTGTTGAGTAACAGTAGTGGTTAGTGACGTCCAGGAAACAGTGAAAGGAAAAGGGTAGTTATCTGTGGTTGCAGGGGTCGAGTCATAGCTCCTGGCCCAGCCTCTTCGCTGGTCGCCACTATGTCCACACTCTCCCTGCTCAGTGAGCTTTATCATACCTCCTCTTAAAGCTATGTGTGGATCCTGCCTCCACTACATCTCTCTGGAGTGTTTCGCTGCCTGACAACTCTATGACTGAAGAAATACTTCCTAAAATCTCTGTGACTCATCCGAGTTTTCATCTTCCAGTTGTGTCTCCTTGTTATTGTTTCCCCTTGTTGCTGTTTCCCCTTGTTGCTGTTTCCCCTTGTTGCTGTGTCCCCTTGTTGCTGTGCCCCCTTGTTGCTGTGTCCCCTTGTTGCTGTGTCCCCTTGTTGCTGTGTCCCCTTGTTGCTGTGTCCCCTTGTTGCTGTGTCCCCTTGTTGAACATTAAAATGGTATAAAATACCGACAGGTTGTTAGGTAAGACACATATGCAACAGTTAGGTATCTTTATTTCGAAACGTTTCGCCTACACAGTAGGCTTCTTCAGTCGAGTACAGAAAAGTTGATAAAAGCAGAAGATACTTGAAGACGATGTAATCAGTCCATCACCCTTAAAGTTTTGAGGTAGTCAGTCCCTCAGTCTGGAGAAGAGCATAGTTCCATAGTCTGAAACAATATGGAGTAGAAGTGACAGGATGGAGCCTTATATAGCGCCAGGAGGTGAGACGTAGGTCACTAGTAGAACGCAGATGTTGGGAGGTCAGGTTCTTCTTAAATCCAGCCGTTCTCACTAGTAGAGGTTGTCAGGTCTGTCCCCTTGTTGCTGTGTCCCCTTGTTGCTGTGTCCCCTTGTTGCTGTGTCCCCTTGTTGCTGTGTCCCCTTGTTGCTGTGTCCCCTTGTTGCTGTGTCCCCTTGTTGCTGTGTCCCCTTGTTGTTGTGTCCCCTTGTTGCTGTGTCCCATCTCTGAAATATTCTGTCCTTATCTACCTTGTCAATTACTCTCTGTATTTTATATGTCATTATCATGTTCCACCCTGTCCCTCCTGTCCTCCAGTGTGGTCAGGACGATTTTCCTTAACCTCTTCTCGTAGGACATACCCCCATACCTCTAGGATTAATCTTATGCAAATCTTTGAACTTTCTCGAATTTCTTGACGTGCTTGACCAGGTGTGGGTTCCAAACTGGTGCTGCATACTCCAGTATGGGCCTGACGTACACGGTGTATAGAGTCTTGAACGCTATTCTGAGGTTTGCAAGGCACCCATATGCTACAGCAGTTATTTGGTTGATGTGCACCTCAGGAGATGTGCTCGGTGTTATACTCACCCCAAGATCCTTTTCCATGAGTGAGGTTTGTAGTCTTTGGCTCCCTAGCCTGTACTCTGCGGTCTTCTTTGCCCTTCCCCAATATTCATGACTTTACACTTGGTGGGGTTGAACTCCAGGAGCCAGTTATTGAACCAGGACTGGAGCCTGTCCAGATCCCTTGTAATCCTGCTTAATCTTCATCTGTTTTGAATTCTCATTAGCTTCACAATGTCTGCAAACTGTGACACTTCTGAGTCTATTCCTTCCGTCATGTCATTCACGTATACCAGAAACAGCATCGGTCCTAGGACTGACCCTTGTGGCACCCCGCTCGTCACAGGCGCCCACTGTGATACCTCGTCACGTACCACGACTTTGTTGTCTCTGTCAGATATTCTCTGATCCATTACAGTGCTTTTCCTGTTATAGGTGTCTGATCCTCTAGCCTCTTCCAGTCCAAGAAAATGCAATCTACCCACCCCTTTCTCTCTCGTGTCTTCCATCACCTTGTAAAACTCCAGTACATTTGAGACACAGGATTTCCCTTCCCTGAAACCGCGCGGGTTGTCATGTATGAGCTTGTTCCTATCTAGGTGCTCCACCACACTTCTGATAATCTCCATGACTTTGCATACTGTACATGTGTGTGTGTGTGTGTGTGTGTACTCACCTATTTGTGGTTGCAGGGGTCGAGTCCTAGCTCCTGGTCCCGCCTCTTCACCGGTTGCTACTAGGCCCTCTCTCTCCCCGCTCCATGAGCTTTATCAAACCTCGTCTTAAAACTGTGTATGGTTCCTGCCTCCACTACGTCATTTTCTAGGCTATTCCACTGCCTTATAACTCTATGACTGAAGAAATACTTCCTACTATCTCTCTGACTCATTTGTGTCTTCAACTTCCAATTGTGGCCTCTTCTTTTTGTGTCCCCTCCCTGGAACATCCTGTCTTTGTCCACCTTGTCTATTCCACGCAGTATTTTATATGTCGTTATCATGTCTCCCCTGACCCTCCTGTCCTCCAGTGTCGTCAGGCCGATTTCCCTTAATCTTTCTTCATAGGACATTCCCCTTAGCTCTGGAACTAACCTTGTCGCAAACCTTTGTACTTTCTCTAGTTTCTTGACGTGCTTTATCAAGTGCGGGTTCAAACAGGTGCTGCATACTCCAGTATGGCCTGACATACACGGTGTGCAGTGTCTTGAATGATTCCTTACTAAGGTATCGGAATGCTGTTCTCAGGTTTGCCAGGCGCCCATATGCTGCAGCAGTTATCTGATTGATGTGTGCTTCCGGAGACATGCTCGGTGTTATACTCACCCCAAGATCTTTCTCCTTGAGTGAGGTTTGCAGTCTTTGGCCACCTAGCCTATACTCTGTCTGTGGTCTTCTGTGCCCTTCCCCTATCTTCATGACTTTGCATTTGGCAGGATTAAATTCGAGAAGCCATTTGCTGGACCAGGTGTCCAGTCTGTCCAGGTCTCTTTGAATTCCTGCCTGGTCCTCATCAGATTTAATTCTCCTCATTAACTTCACATCATCTGCAAACAGGGACACTTCTGAGTCTAACCCTTCCGTCATGTCGTTCACATATACCAAAAATAGCACTGGTCCTAGGACCGACCCCTGTGGGACCCCGCTCGTCACAGGTGCCCACTGTGATACATCATTACGTACCATGACTCGTTGTTGCCTCCCTGTCAGGTATTCTCTGATCCATTGCAGTGCCCTTCCTGTTATATGCGCCTGATGCTCTAGCTTCTGCACTAATCTCTTGTGAGGAACTGTGTCCAAAGGCCTTCTTGCAGTCCAAGAAGATGCAATCAACCCACCCCCCCTCTCTCGTGTCTTACTTCTGTTATTTTATCATAAAACTCCAGAAGGTTTGTGACACAGGATTTGCCTTCCGTGAATCCGTGCTGGTTGGCATTTATACTCCTGTTCCGTTCCAGGTGCTCCACCACTCTCCTCCTGATAATCTTCTCCATAATTTTGCATACTATAAAACATCAATGACACAGGTCTATAGTTTTAGTGCCTCTTTTCTGTCTCCTTTTTTAAAAATGGGAACTACATTTGCCGTCTTCCATACCTCAGGTAGTTGCCCAGTTTCCAGGGATGTGTTGAAGATTGTGGTAAGTGGCACGCACAACATATCTGCTCCCTCTCTAAGGACCCACGGGGAGATGTCCGGTCCCATTGCCTTTGAGGTACGATGTCCCTTACAGTTTTTCACCCCCTTTCCTCATCTGTTTTAAAGTCGTCCAACACTTTTGGTGTATTCCTTGCTGGTGTCCCCATCTGGTCTGTCCCCCCAAGTCCTTCCTGCTCTACTGTAAATACTTCCTTAAATCTCGTGTTGAGCTCCTCACATACCTCTTGATCGTTTCTTGTGAGTTCTCCACCTTCTTTCCCTCAGCCTTATCACCTGGTCCTTGACTGTTGTCTTCTCCTAATGTGGCTATACAGCAGTTTCGGGTCAGATTTGACTTTCGATTGCTATGTCGTTTTCATACTGTCGCTGGGCCTCCCTCCTTTTTCTGTGCATACTCGTTTCGGGCTCTTCACTAATCTCCTTGTTTCCTGGGTCCTATGCCTCCTGTACCTTTTCCATTCTCTGTTGCACTTAGTTTTTGCCTCCCTACACCTTCGGGTAAACCAAAGGGACTCGTTTGGTCTTCCTATTATTTCTGTTTCCCCTTGAGAACAAAACTTTCCTCTGCCTCCTTGCACTTTGTTGCCACATATTCCATCATCTCTTTAAACTGATTTTCCTACCATTTCTCTGTCCCACTGAACCTCCTGCAGGAAGTTTCTCATACCTGTGTAGTCCCCCCTTTTATAGTTTGCCCTGTCCCCTTCAGTTCCTGTTAACTTTCTCCACTTGTAACTCACTATATAGTCAAAACTCAGAACCACATGATCGCAAAGCTCCAAGGGCCTCTCGTAAGTGATGTCCTCAATGTCTGAACTGCTCAGGTGAACACAAGATCCAGTCTTGCTGGCTCATCCTCCCCTCTCTCTCTGGTTGTGTCCCTGAAAATGTTGATGCATGAGGTTTCAAGTACCACATCCATCATCTTGGCTCTCCATGTTTCGGGACCCCCATGTGGCTCCGGGTTTTCCCCAGTCGATCTCCCTGTGGTTGAAATCGCCCATTACCAGTAACTTTGCTCTGCCGAGTGAGCTCTTCTTGCCACCTCAGCCAGTGTGTCCACCATCCCCCTTTGTTGTTTCCTTCGTACTCCTCTCTGGCCTCCTGCAGTTCTGTGGTGGGTTATACATCACTCCAATGACTACTTTATGTTCTCCGGACTGAATTGTACCTACAATGTAGTCTCTTTCTCCAATCATGTCCATGCCTTTTCCATTTCCTCAAATCCCCATCGGTGTTTTATGAGCAGTGCAACCCCTCCCCCCCGTAACTCCTTCTGTCTTTCCTCAGGATCTGATATCCTGTTGGGAAAAATTGTGTCTGTTATTGTCTCAGCGAGTTTTGTTTCTGTGACTGCTATGATTCTGGGGATTTTTCACCTGATTCTTTCATTCCACTCCTCATTTTATTCGTTATTCCATCCGCATTTGTGTACCAAACCTTAGTTTCTTTTCTATCATTGGGGCCCATGCAAGAATATTGGGGTTGGGGGAGCGAGACCTTGGTGGGGGCCTA